ACCAGGGTACTGAGTCACATAGATCTCGGTAATCTCCATGGCTGGGGACTTAGAAACGATCGTAACCGCTGGTTAGAGGCACTGAGTGATATGGCTAAGTGTCGTAAACAGTGGAGTTCGTGCATCTCAATTTCTTTGCAACCCTAGACCACTTATGTTATCCATTTTCTGTTCGACTCTACTTTTAATCGTTCCATCTTTCTCCTATTGTTTATCCAAGTGGGTAACCAAAAGACAGCAACTTAAACCGCCACACGAAGATGCATTGTTAACGGTTGTACAAACTGAACTTCTCGTTTTTCGGGTTGGAGTCACAAATATTCGGATATCTAGATGGAGACACCGAAGGTAGTGTTAGAAAACCGACAGCATTGGCGATCTTTCTGTCACTGGTTATCAGATCAGAGTGCTTGAAAACTTGTGTACGCGCAGTTGGACTGTGCACCGTGGTGATCACAGAGATTCGCTTTCTTCATCACCAAATAGGTCCAAGCCCTATCCTCTTTACACTTTCTCACTTACCTTGTATGCATTAGGAGTTCGGCAGCGATCACCAAAGTTGGGTTCACTTTACTCCGCTGTCCGATAATGAGGATTGTGATAATGATAACGATGAATACCCCGCCTGTCACAGCGGGGCAATATGCGGTTTTAATGACACGGTGGCCTTCATTAACCGATACGTTTTATGGACGAAAAGCAAGATAGGGCAGATGGCTCGAACCATTAAATCGAATTATCCTCAGAACTTTGCTTTCTTTTTTATTCCAGTCAAAAGGGAATTCTCCGTGATCTGTTTTTGATGGCCGTCGGTTCGTCCAGTTCGGATACTTCAGAACCACCGTCTTCGGTGGTCAACACTGTTCGATGTGTTCCAGTTACTGCAACAAATTTGACTCTTCATTCAAACGGAATCCGCAACGAGGTGCTCGCTGCTGCAGGTAAATGATCGTTTTTGTTTTTTGTGTGGTTGCTTTGGATAGAGTATATTGTCTCGTCACCCAGTCTTCTTTGTCTATCTAATTAGTTATATCAAAAGGAGCAGTTCGATGTTGTCGGTGGTGAGGAAACAGGGGGCATTAGAAAAGAATATGAATTTCATTGAGACCATGGAATTTTAGTTGCCATCAAATGGTAAACAAAAGCAGATACTTATGTTTTTCGAATAAAATTTTCCTTCATAAAGCATGCTCTCAAAATAGGTCCTTTCTCTGCAAACACATTGAATCTGGCCCCACTAACAATACTATTGAACCCTTCCCCAAGAGAAAGTGCAACTGTCGAGTTGTATACCTATCCGACAACAAAAAAACGCTACTCAATACCGTGCTGAAGATCGCCCATAGGTTCTCTCCTGGTGACAGATACGCACGCGTGAAGCTTATAGGCGATGCAGGTGTTTCAAAGACGGTCTTCGGAATCATCTGGACAATAGTGCCAATGATTATTCCGGGTTTCGGCTCAGTTGTTCATAACAGCCATGGATATCTGCCGTAGTGGTCATTGTAAGTACACTTAGCATTTTGGAGCCGTACCTTCAAAGACTGGTTTTAAATATGTATATAATTTTAGCATTTTTCTTCGTAGATGGTAGGGCTGATAGGTCCTGAAACTTTCATAAAAAGGTCATCAGATTTAAAAACGTACATCAGCTTTGTAGGGATAATCACTAAGAAAGAAGTTCTTGGTTTTTGATGATTAAGTAAAAGTCCGTGAGGAGGATCGCACCTCCATTTGGTGGAGGGAGAATGCAGTGAAAGAACTAAGCCAACTTCGAGCTGTACAACTACTGAAAAGGTATGCACTAGAAGTGTGGACTTTGTGCTCGTAGTAGAAAACGGAGGGAGATAGGCGCACATCGAGACAATAATGCAAGAAACAATTAACGATGAATTTATCTGTTCTTGAATGAATTTCTACTGTAGATTTCTCCTGTCCAGTTTTAAATGCGATAGTCACCAATAATCCCATAGAAACCATTTAAACCACTCACCGGTTAGGTGTGATGCGCTGTCTTTATGTTTGGTGCTGTCGTGTCAAACGGAAAATCAAGAAATTGTTTAATCTCTTACGACCGAAAATCCCAGTGGATTACGCGAGATTTTATTAGTACAGAACACAAATACGGTAATAAATTAGTGTGCCAGTCTCGTAGACAACGATGTTCTTTTTTTGATACATACCAGTGTGTGATGAACAGCAGTTAGGGTGGACCCGATAGTCACGAAGACCTGCTGTTCAGTGATGGTAACCGGCAACCTAAGCTACGGGACTTGGAGTGGCGAACCACCTAAGGCCTCGATAGGTCAGGCTTGGTTTTTCGTTGTTGTAGCGAGGATAGTATAACTTGGTCTGCAGTTATTCGCCGAGCTCGGGAATTATATTTCAAACTTTTCATCATTAATCGAGGTGTCTCTCTCAAAGCAGAAACCCAGTTAGTATTCACGGAGTGATAATCTGGGTGAGACGAGATGAAACGTCTGAAATTGAGTTTACCTGGAAAGTAAACTATCTCAAAAGTTATAAGGCTCCTAGCCCGAACGGACTGTCCCTATCGGTTTTAAAGGGTGGAGGTTCAGCGTTGGTCTTGGAGTTGACGAAACTCCTTGGCTTAGTGTGGGAGGGGAACAGGTTCCGACTGAACGGTGTGAATCGGCCATCATACTGATTTGCCAGTTAAGCGAAAGATCCACCTGTAAAGACCACAGAATTAGTTTTATCATCATCTCTAAACTTCTTGCTGATATTATACTCCGTCGGTTGTCTGCTGCACGTAAAGTGTGCACACGTGAGAATCAGGCTGGTTTTAGACTGGTTTGAGGTTGTATCGACCACATCTCCATTCTTCATTAAATTCTAGAACACAAATATTCCTTCCGTAGATCCATTACTTCTGTCTTCCTCGATATCAAAGCGGCTTTCGGATGAAGTTCCGGTGTGTATACAAAAGGCTCGGTTGGCATTTGCCAACTTGAGACATTTGTGGTTCCGTCGCGACATCCAGCTGTCTGTGAAGGGTCGAGTGTACATTGCAGCTGTTCTTCCTGTGCTGGTATACGGTACAGAGACTTGGGCATTGAGAAAACAGGATAAAGATACTCTCGGTGTTCGAGCATCTCTGACTATACAGTAATGCACGAATCTGGTGGGGCAACCGCACGAGCAATACTAAGGTTAGACGCAGACTTGTAAGTAATTGTGTTCGTTCACTGGGGCAAGTGGTCGACCTCCATAGATTACGCTGGTTGGAACATATGTTACGGTGAGCGATGTTTGCCGAAGCAGGCAGGGGATGGAAAAAGGTCAAGGACGGTCATTAGGCTATAAAAACCCTAACCAAGTTAAGTCAAGGACATTGGACACATAAGTCCTGTTAGGCTACCTGGATGGGGATCCTGAGGTCATGATCATCGGTGGCTAGAGACACTGAATGATATGGTTGGATGTCGCAAACATTGGTGCTGGTGCGTCTACTCATTATTCTTGCAACCGCACTCTATATAAATTCTCTATCTTCCCGTTGAATTTTGCTCTCAACATTCCAACATACACAACCTTTCGTTGAAATTGAAAGGTCGTGTATGCTGCCCTAGTGTGCTGTGAGTTGTGCTTTATGGGTGCGAGACCCTATATTTGCATGTGGAAGATGCTCATCGTCTAGAAGTATTCCACTGCCGGTGTTTACGTATTTTGGCACGGGTTGGATGGAGAGAGCATATAAGCAACTATGAATTAAGTCGTCGCGTAGTTGGTAATAATTCGGTAGAAAATTCGTTATCACATCGGATTTGGATCAATAGGCTACACTAGTTAGGATGCATATTTGCGTATACCCAGCTGCCGTCTGCCGTGCCTTATTCGCAGTTGCGGCTCCATGTTGGAAGAAACCGTGTGGAGGTTAACAGATGACGTGGAAACGAGGCATGGAGAAATGTACAAAGCGATTAGGTAGAGTAGTTGTCTCCCGTCTTCCAGGTTGGATCCGAAAGACTCTGTAACTGGTTGGTCGGAGACACTGAAGGAGATGGCAGCAAACAGACAGTAGTGACAGTGATTTCTTATCAGGTCAGAATGCTTGAAAGGGTATGTGTACACAGTTATATTGTGCACTCAGTGTGTTGACCGTAGAGTTTCAATTTCTTGTCGCCTACAACAGAGGCCCAATCCCTGTCCACAAGACATTCTTAGTTATTTGTATACATTGTCTGCTTGATTGCAATCGGTGAAGTTCGATTCACTGCGTTTCGCTGTACGATCATGATGATGATTAACAGAGGCTGTTGGAGATGTTTCGCCGTACAGACATTTCACGAGGAGCCACTTAAGTGTAATCGGTCACAATGCAAGAAATCTGCCCCTAGTATACTGAGGTTTTCAGCAGTGCATATTCAACGGTCTTAAGGTGGTTTCACTTTCTTTCGGCTGTCTCCTTGGAGAGGATGAACTGGTTTGCTCAAAATCACTACGATTCTTCGTAGTGTGGTAAAAGAGGTGCCTCGACGACGCACCTCTTACCTTTACTCAACCAAGTGCAATTGACTTGGCAGCAGTGTGATGGTGCATTCTTCCCACTGGCTTTCTAGGAGCTCCCTCTGTATTCCGTTGATATGCATGTAATCCAGGGATGAATGTATCGCCGTGATTTGGACATATTTCCTTTCAAGCTGTTGGATCAGACGGTCTACCCCGACCTCTCTTTATGCGTTCGCTGTGTTCTTATTCCGTGCATCATCTCGCCAAGGACTTCAAGCTTCGATTACCCCCAACTTATTTTGGCCCGGCCGTCTCGGCAATTTTCTGAGTTTCGGCGGTTGATACGTACTTTGTCGCATTGAAGCCGTAGGTGGGCGTTAGATAAACGGGAGACCAACGAGTCAGACTATGTCCCAAGTGACGCAGGTACTTTTACCACTCCGAGGTGCTGTCCTCAGTAGATACTCCTAAACCCCACTCCCATACTCATGCAAACAATAACGACATAATTCCTCAGGACCCACAATAGTCATAAGCGCTGAGATTGTTGTTGTCTGATTCGGAACGTCTGTTCCGGAGTGACATATGGGAACTTAATTTGACGCTCGTAGTTTCTATATCTGCTTCTGGAACGATAGGCGCAGGCTCACTTCGCCGCCACATCAACATAACTTTTGTCGTGCAAATTCTTTTACCAAAACTATTGTATCGGCGTATAACTGATTTTGCTCTTGTGGAATCATTAGCTACGCAATAGGAACTAAGATCAAGGAGAATAGATAATTTTGTTTGGATCCAGATAAACTTAGTCTGATTCTGAACTGAACATGATAGAGTTTCTTGTTCACCACTAACTCTACGTATGCTTTGTTTGCACCACCCTAACAGAAAGCACTACTTTGCATGCTCTGTTTGCTCCGTGTCCGTGAACTCTGCGGATATGCTGCAATCATTGTCTTCTATTCCAACCTTTCTTTTGTGAACCCTATAAAAGGACCCTAACAGTTGGCATTTCACAGGCTGATTATCTGGCATTATATCAAATTTGACAATTTCGGGGATAAGTGTTACGTCTCGTTTAAGTAGATAACTAACAAATTACGCAGTAAGTTTATCCTTAACACGTACAAATATGGCTGGTCTATGGACCGGTGAGTAAAAAAAGCGTTAGCACGCTAGCGGTTCGCCAAACCGAATGCATAAGTAAGCACAAGCTTTACATGTCATCAGAGTGCAATCACGCAGGACAGTCAAACTGTCAGCGAATCAATCAACACGGAAAGCTCAATGCTTACATTCGGTTGACTGAGGAGAATCAATCATAAAATAGAATAAATCTGTGTGATGTGCATGCGTGAGTGGTCGCGGACAGCATTGGCCAATCAGTCAATGTTATGGGTATGTGCGGTAAACGTTTCAATCAACTGCCAGATGCAGAAATGGGAGTTTAAGGAACAAAAATGAAGCAGCGCTGTTGGTTTGAGTAAACAGCTTGTTTACGTCCCGGCGACTGTATCCGGAGGTAGTATGAATCCGCTTCAGGGATATCCCTTACTGAAGTTTTCCAAGCTTAGCGATCGACAGCATACTGTTCTCAGACCATGGTCCAGCCTCTCTTCTAGCGACGAATGTCTGATGTAGAATTGGCCAACATAAGATGTCTAGCAATGCTTTCAATCTCCTACCAAAGGTGTTAGCACCAGAACGGTTTTTACGCGCCATTGGTCGAACGCTCCCAATTATCGACAACTTTGGACTCTTCGTTATCACGTTGTTCAGGTGTACAACAAGACTGGTCCAGTGGTTAAGATCATCAAAAAAAGCGCCCTGGATGACCGGAGTTCGAATCCCGCCAGGGGCAGCTTTGTATGGCTGCACCCCCCTTTCTAAACCTTGACTGTACATTTATATACTTAATGAATAAAATAAGTAAAACTTTACATTGAATGCCACTCAGCAGCTTATTTCAGTTTTTGACTGTTTCATTTTTAGCTGTTGTGCTCAAAGTATCCGATGACGATGTTGCACTCAGACCGAATGAGGATAAACAGCTGACTGATACAAATGGGCCGGTTGTTTCTACATCAAAATCGAATGCTGGTAAGCGCGGAACTCTTGAAATTCGGCTCATGGTTTTGGGAAACTGGTTATTATTTTATTACACATAATGTAAATACCAGTAACAGCGGAAATCCCCATAAACAGGCACCATACTGTAAAGCGGAGAAGAGGGGACCTTCACGTAAGATCCAGTTTATTGATTCTGCGTGTAAGGAGTGTAAGATTGTAAGTTTGGGAAAAGACAGAAAGTGGGAGGGTGCTCTACAACTTGACAGTTCGGGGGGGGGGGAAGGAAGATTGGAGCAGAGCAGTAAGACATCTGAAGACCGAAATCTGAAAAGGAGGACTAGATACCTGGGTAAAGGATTGGCGAGAAAAAGTTACAGTAAGAAGAACTGCTGAGGCGAGCTCCAAAAATCAAACTAGTGGCGGTTTTACAAGGGGCAGCAAAGCAACTGCCCGTCGATGGGCCAATGATTGCACATTGAAAGTTATGGAAGGATCATCGATCAGCTGGATGGCCTTTCGTTGAACACGATGAAGAATGGAAAGAGAAGAAGACGAAGACGTGACTAGTATTCAAGAGCAGGGCGGAATTAAGCTTTGTGCAGTAGAAAAAAATTGGGTGATGTGAACAAGCGTCTGGCGTGGAATACAAAACTAACCTTGCGCGCACCACGAGAAGCAAGTCAAGATATAAAAGGGGGACCAGCATTAAGAGGTTGTAGACAATCTAAGAAGGGAACCGGAGTCTGGGGAACGCAGTTGGGCGGAATTAAAAGATAAATGAGGGAAGACTCAATGGCGTTTTAGAGAAATTGAAGGAAGAAGCATTAGAACCATTGAATCAAACAAGATTGATATTGCCCCAGGAGGAGATGTGCTCGAGATCAGAGTCTAGTGACACATTAACTGCACCATGGTCACGATCAATTTTGGTCTGGTATGGCGAGTTGTACCACGGGGAAGGGGAGGGGAGCAGTTGAGGTTGGCAAAAGAATGGATTTTGCTCAGTAGAAGACTATCTGACCTTAACACACGTAGTCTGACCTCATCGTTACTCACACGATGCTCCCACCATAAGCGGGCGATGTTGCAGAGGAAACGGTTAGTCTTTTAATATGATCTGCTCGGAGAAAGCAGGTTTCGCAGCCATAATAGAGCAACGCAGCGCCTACCTTTGCACAATGCACACCCTTTGAAAGGAGGTATGTCGCGCCGGCGCCAGCGATGCCACAGTTTAGCAAACGCTAATCTAGCTGTGATTACGAATCGAGAGGTATCACCCACACCGATGCCAGCCGTTATGCAACTCCCCAAGTAGAGAAAGCTTTTGACTACTTCTAAAATGTGGTTACCCAACGAAAGTGCAGGAACAGGTTCCTGCCAATCTTGCAGCAACTCCTTACACTTTGAAAGTGCGAAGGACATGCCAGAACAAGTAACCTCAATTACTGAACGATTCAGCTAGTCTTGAATTGTCTGTACGTTGTCACAGTAAGGCAATATCGTCGGCACACTCTACGACTCTGTCTCTAGTAAGAAGCACAACGCCAGCGTTTGTGACGTTGAGCAACGCTCCATGAAAAACATCATCTATGGCAAAGTTGAAGAGAAACGGAGAGATAGAGCAACCCTGTCGTACCCCACTTACGACAGGAAATGAGGGTGAAAGTTCACTATAGGTTTGAGGATAGACTGCTTTTAGGAGTAGAACATACTTTTCGAGTACTCTGTATGTCTGCAAACAGTTTTACATTGCGGGGGGATCAATGGAGTCGAAGGCCGCTTTGATTCCGAAAAACACGACAACGGTTTGTCGTCTGTGTGGTGGTGTTGTAGCAGCTCACGAAGGGTGAAGATTTGATCTAGGCAACCATGGCATCCAAGAAACCCGGCCCACTCCTCGCGGATTTGTCTTTCGCGAAATGGGTTTAGTGGGCCTAATAAGGCGGATGCTAGCAGCTTCAGCCCTATTGGAATCAGACTTATGCCGCTGGGGTTAGAAAAAGCGTTGCGACAGCCCCTTTTGTAGATGGGTGTAACAATGGGTTCTCTCCATCTGTGAGACACACTCTCAGTTTCTCAGATCAGAACAGCCTGACAAGCTCTCTCACGAGAGCTTCTCTACCATCTCTTAATGGGGCAGGTGTCAAGTTGTCTGATCCAGCCGCTTGCTACTTTTCAGGGCTTGGAGTTCGTTTCGGACTTACGTATAAGTGGACAGTTCCGTGGATAGTGACCAGGGTGCACTCTCAAGATAACTAATTGGGGCACCCAGCGTGGGGGCTAGTTGAACTTTGATGTGAAGTGCTCTGCCCAGCGTTCCAAGCATCGGTGAAGACTGTACATTCTCGTGCCGTTTATTTTACAGATTGTTTCAGTTATGCATTGTATTTTGAGGCCCGTAAGACGGATGGTTCGGAACAGTGCCGGGTGCTTCCGTCTCCTTTGCACAGTGTCCACCAGGTTTCTCGGTCTTCTCTCAAACCGTTTGTGAGTTCACGCTTCAGAAATAGGCGCTGCTCATTGTACTTGCTGTCTACCGGGATTGTTCGACGTGTGTCGAGAAGTCTGAGAGAGTTGGAGGAGACCCAGTATCTTATAACTCGGCAGTTCTGGCCCCAACTGTGTGCATTGCGTTTTGAGTGGTTGTCGAATGTTAATCTACGCTTCTTGGTTAGGTTGTAGTTAGCCTTGCGACCAACTCGTTTTGGTAGTCGGCCAGCACGGCCGGATCAGAATGCTTGTCGACGTCAGGCTGTTTGCATCAGATTTTTTGCGGCCATTAAGTCCCATAGACAACTTGGCAGAAACTGGTTCGTGGGGGAACAGATTAGCGAAAGCTATGGTAGATTTTACTAACCTGCGACATCAGTGGCTCCACAATGACATTGAACTGTCCTTAAGGGAATGGTGTACATTCCCTCGTTGAGTTGTTTATTGCCTTACGGTTGCGGAACTTGCTCTCTCAGAGCTGAGAATGCCAATCGAATTTTTAGTATTCAACCATTGTGTCTTCGAAACATTGCTCGTGTCTGATGGGAACATCGGGTGAGCAACGATGAGGATCTTCGTCGTGGTTTGGGTGCTGATACTCATTCCGTGAAAGAACAAAGGAACGTCGGTTGTCGATGGTTAGAGACACTAAAAGATATAACTCAGGGTGGAATTCAGTGGCACAAATGCCATATAGTCTGGTTGGTAAAGTCTCGTGCCCCGTAAAAAAGACAATCACAAACACTAAAAATGTACTGTGAACCAAACAAAAACATTTGTTGTTCTTTTTTACTCTCTCTCTCGATTTCCCCCATGTGTATCGAAATCCTCTTTTTCTAGCATCATAGTTGTCGCATATGTGTATAATCCTGATGAAACGCAACTTGTTTGGTGTGCCTTCTTATCTCCTCGTTGCTGGACTTGTTTGGATCACATTACCGTAGACTGCTGCTAGTGTATATATATATATATATATATATATATATATATATATATATATATATATATATATATATATA